GTCTGAGATGTGGGGTGTGGGGTGTGTTGACCCTTTCAAGGACAAACTGCCTAACGGATTCTATTGTTAAATGTATGGAAAGTTAGTGTGTGTTCAGTTGTGGGTTTTTCTTCTTTGCTCTTGCTTGATGAGTCCAGGTGTTTCCTTTTAAAGGTAAGAATTAGCATTTTAACCAGTCAGCTTGTTTGGCATTTACCCACTGATTGTATCATTTGCATTGGCTGACATTGCCCTGGTAATGGGGAAAAAGCAAATCTGTTTAGGTAGTCATACATTTCTTTTTATGCACACCACACACGAATTATTTGTCTACCTTACTCCCTTTTTTGCAGTAGCTATTATCTTAACAGTTGGCGGCAAATTAAATTTTTAGAAATCAAATTCTGCTGGCTGCAGGAACGTTATCAGATGAGCTTTACCTTCCTTCCTAATTAATCATCACCAGGCAGTGACTCCTGTCTTGTAATTTTTTAGATTCTTTTTCTTGGTTCTTTTTGTCAAGTAATTGATTTATAAATGAGTATTTAAGTTTCCTGGTCAGGCTTACCATTTAAAGGAACCCTGCAATGAATTATTTCACAAAGTTTGGATTTTAATATTCTGTGTTGCCCAAAGTGAAGAATGCCTGTGCCTTGTGTGGTTTGTTTCAGTGGTAAACCTAAGGCCAAACCGCCTTGTGTTGATAAACCAATAAGAGAAACCATGCAAAACCTGATAATGGAATTTTCCCAGTTGTGAATATTTTGCATTCCCTATGATTTTTATTAGGGTACAGAATTATATATTCTTTTACCTATGCAAGTATCTTCTTATACTGGCTAGGAGTCTCCTACAATGTTGAATTGATTGGTGAGGTTGGCCATCCTTGCCTTCATTTTTATCTTAAACAGAAAGCATTCAATCTTTCACTGTTAAGTATTGTGTTAGCTAAAGGTAGGCATTCCAGGGGCGCCTGGGTGGTTCAGTCAGTTAAGCGTCTGTCTTCACCTCAGGTCGTGATCCCAGGGTTCTGGGATCAAGTCAGGCACTCTGCTCATCAGGGAGTCTGTCTGTCTGTCTGTCTCTCTCTCTCTCACTCTACCAACCCCCCCCACTCGTGCTCTCTCCCTCTCTCAGATAAATAAAATTTTAAAAATTTTTTAAAAAAATCAAAATAAAGGTAGGCATTTCATTAATGCTCATTATCAATTTGGGGAAAATACCTTTTATTTTTAGCTTCCTGACAGTTTTTTTTCATGAATGCTGAATTTTGCACATTATTTTCTACATCTGTTAATATGGTGAATTAATATTGATTGATTTTCAGATGTTATACCAAACTTGCCTTCATGATAAACCCTTTTTATCATATATATATATATATATATATATATAAAACTAGATTCATTTTGCTCAAATTTTATGAGGATTTTTGCATCTGTCTTCGTGAGAGATAGCAATCTATAGTTTTCTTGTCTTGTAGTACCTCTGACTAATTTTGGCATCAATAATGCTGGCCTTATAAAAAGAGCTAGTTGTGTTCTCTGTTCTATTTTCTGGGAGAATTTTTGTAGATTTGTGGTGATTTCTTCCATAAATGCTTTGTAGAATTCATAGAAGTCATCTGTGCGTGGCATTTTTCTTATGGAAAGATTCTTAACTACAAGTTCAGTTTCTTTACTGAGTGTAGTGTTATTTAAGCTCTCCATTTTTTCTTGAGTGAGTCAAGTTGAATTATAATTTATGCAACTATTTAAAAGATACATGGGTTTTAATAAATCAAGAATAATCCCTCTAAATTGTTGCACCATTGACATCTTTTTATTTTTATCTTTATTATTTTTTTAAAGATTTTATTTATTTATTTGATAGAGATCACAGGTAGGCAGAGAAGCAGGCAGAGAGAGGAAGGGAAGCAGGCTCCCTGCTGAGCAGAGAGCCTGATGTGGCACTCGATCTCAGGACCCTGAGATCATGACCTGAGCCGAAGGCAGAGACTTTAACCCACTGAGCCACCCAGGCACCCCCGTTGACATCTTTTTAAAAACCATGTGGATCAGGGAATTGGGCTAGGGCATTTGCAAGTGGGCACATCCACAAATAATATGACCATTATGGGCACATAATAGACAATGCTTTTGTGTTCATGACATCGTGGTGAAGAGAAAACACTCAGATCAATAAGCGTCATTACTTGTTACTTTTCCAAAAGATTGAAATAAATACTTCATGAGTCCGTTACCTCTCTAATTCAAATACCTATTTAATGACAAAGTAGGGATAAATATAAGACTTCCAGTAATGGAGGAATGATACTTGTACAGTCAAAATTCACTGTTGATGGATTCAGTGACTAAAATGTGTTTGTAACCTCAAAATCATACTTGTGACACTCTCATGTTCATTCGTGGCCATGCACAGAGCAGTGAAAACTTGGAGTCGCAGGATGCATGCATTCTCGGTGGAGATGGAACAAGGCGGTGCTCTGCCTTCCTTTCCACTCTCATGCAAGATAACTGGAAGATGGAGCAGCAGGGGGCAGTGCAGCCCAATGCGAGAAGCTCCAGCTCTGGGGCCACAGGATAGTTTGAATCCCACCCATGGCCCCTCCTTACTGGGCTGGCCTCAGGCAAATCACTTAAGGCTTCTGAACCCTTTTTTCTCTTTTGTAATATAAAGAAAATAGAATATGACTGGATGAGTTGTTTTTAAGATATAATATTTTTTATCTATTGTGGTCTGTGTATTTTATCTATGATACATTATTTGCTGTTTCATTGTTCCCAGTGACTTCTTAGAACTTACCTAGCATGAATAACAAGAATCAGCTGTTTATCTTTCTCCCCGATGAGAGTATGTGCAATACGATTTTCAGATGTTCAGCAAACCTTGCTTTTACGATAAGCCTGTCTGATCGTGAAGTACTGTGTATTTTACATTTTGCTAGAATTGACTGGCTAAAGTTGTAAAAAGCATTTTTGAATCTATGGTTGGCAAAGGAATTTTTTTTGAAAAAAAATGTGTAGTCTCACAAGCTTAGGAGCCTGGGAGAGGAGATAACACATAAATATCAACATTTTTTTACCAAGTTGAGTGGTAGCTGACAGCAGACAAGAGAAAGCTGACCCACACAGGTGTGGAGTTGGAGTAGAGTCAAGGAACAAACTAGTTTACTCCGCTGAAGTGCAGACAGCTCAGGGCGACTTCAGAAAGGATCAGGAATGAAAGATACCGGTTCTCCGGGGGCACCTGGCTGCCTCTGTTGGAAGAGCGTGTGACTCTTGATCTTAGGGTGGGGAGTTCAAGCGCCGCTTTGGATGCAGAGATACTAAAAAAGATAAATAAGTTTTTTAAAAAATACGAAAAATAAACAAAATACTAGGGATCTGAAGATTAAGGGTGCTAGAAATACGAAAATTGGATAAGAAAAATCCTTGGAAGAGTTAGCACCCTGCCTCTGTCCCCTTCTCTAATTCAGCCAAAAATGGTTAAGTTCACTATCTGAAAGAAGTCAACGAGGTATGCGTAGATTCAAGAGATCAGGCACTGCTAAATTTGAGACTGAATCACCACACCCTAAATGGGGCCTCGCTGTTAAACAGAGAGACCCCTACGGGCCCCTTCCTTTCTTGATTTCAAATGACTAAAAGATGATGGTTTCGTGCTCCCCTGTAGAGGAGATTATCAGATTCCTCTGTAGAGAAACTGACCAGCCCAAGAAAAGACATATCGGATTTTGAAATTTAGGGGTCCCCTGATGAAACATCTGGATGCCTTCCCACCCTGCTGTGAAGCTTTCCCAGTACACAAGCTTGCCAATAGGGACACAGTTGTGGTTTTCCCCCAGTTAGCATTTTGGTGCCTTGCTTATAAAGACAGACAACCAACAATCACCAGATACTTGTAGAAATACCTTTAATGTGAAAGCAGAGGCCAAAATGAAGAAACAGAAAAAAGAACTTGAAAGAAAATGATCGTTTGAGGAGATAAATAAATAAATAACAGAATTGTCTCTGACTAACTCAGAGAAAATCCATGAAACAAGAATGAAACATGCTATAGAAGGATATCACTCAGAGAAAACAGGAGTGGCTGCATAATGAAAATACAACACAACACCTCTTCTTTGAAAATTATTAGGAATTTCATGCTGGGAGCACAGAGCATGAAACCAGGTGTGGGGCTGTTCTGAGCACAGGCACCTATATGAGCACACACCTGTGACACCAGCCTTGGAAATAAGAAAGAACTCTTGGAGATTAAATAAACGAGAGCAGGAATAAGAAAGTTGAAGAGTTAGAAGATAAGGAATTTGGACAAAAGGATGAAAAAATGCTCAAGGAGATGGTTTAAGACATTCATGATATAAATGTAGTCAGAATTCCAGACAGAGGGCAGAAAAACTAGAGAGAAGGAAATAATCCTACAAGTATTTCAAGCCAAGTTCCCAGAGCTGAAGGACATGAGTTTATAGATTTCAAGGGCCAAGGAAAGGCAAACAATTAGAGAATTTTGAATTATCAGGGATAACTTCCTGAAAACTTTCAAAGAGAGAGAGAAACCAAAGCAAAACAAAAAACGGGGTCATGTGCAAAGCATTGGAAATTATAATGGTAGCAAATGCAAAATGTTGTTTTAGCCAGAAATTGTGATAGGATTTTCTTTTTTTTTTTTTTGAGACTGGGAAGAAGAAAAGAGGGTAAATCTACTATAGTAAGAAGTCAGTAGATGGTCAATCTCAATGAAAAATCAGTAAACGGCCAGATAAGCATGCCATGTAGATATTGGGAGGTAAAACAAATAATTCAAAAATTAACCCATTTCAGCACAAGAATCAAAGGCCTCTTGAGTGCAGGAATCATGGATTTGGGAAAGGAACCACTGTTTTTCAATATCTGTCATGTACCCTTTAACTGTCTGTGTTAATCCTTTAATAATTACAGTTAGATTGTAGGTAAGAATTTGAGCGAGGTCAGCGTGGGTCTGCACAGATGTGACGCTAACGTTTCTTCTCTCTCCAGATTCCAGGTACATTCTCTTGCCCGTCGTGTTACATCACCTCCACATGCACCTGCAAGAGCAGAAGGACCTGATCATGTGCGCACGTATCCTTAGCAACGTATTTTGTCTCATCAAGAAAAATAGCTCAGTAAGTAAATACAGGTCAGAGTATGTAGTACCCATCAAATGACTTTTGGAAATAAAAATGCTCAAAGTCCTCAGAGAAACCTCACTAAGCGTAACCCTCTGAGACTCTCACTTTTATTTCCAGCTGGGTTGGACATTTTGCTTTTCTTCTGAAATAATTTTTTTTTCCGTCTTGTAGGATTGCTATAACCCCAAATAACCTGGGTTTCCTAAACTTGTATTTCGAGAAAGAACTGAATACCCAGTGAGAAAAATTAGAAATCTCAAAGCCTCCCACATGTATCTTTAATCTTGATATGATGAATTCTCTGTGGCAAGAATAAATTACTGCCTGTGAAGTGAAGTCTTTTTGGACCCCATCTGTGGAAGGCTGCATGGTGGTGGTCCGAGCTTGGCATGGCCCTCGGACTCTGCCCTGCAGAAACTGTGAAAACAGGAAAGCCCCGGGAGACCGAGCGTATCTTGCACTATAGTTATGACTCAGCCCCAACCGTAATCACTAAAGTGTTGTGGATTTGGGAATTCCTGTGCACATACCTGATGCTTGCTGCAGTGCTGTTACATTATAGAATGCAGGGCAAATAGAGAAAAATCACAGACTTCCTTAGAACTGGGGACAAGCCTTTGAGTATTCATGTCCGCGGCTCATGGCTCACGGCCGATGTGAAATTCACATGTAAAGGATGTCCTGTTCTAGCTCTGTCAGTGTGCAGCTGTGAATTGACGTATACTCGTCTTTGACAGCTTGTCCAGAGCCGTGCTGGGAGTCCCGTGTCTCTCCCTCCCTGCTACTACTCTGCTACCGTCTCCCCATGTTTGTTCCTCGTACTTAGGATCACCTTCTGAGGCGCTCAGTGTTGAGCTGGCATGGAACCCCAGTGGAAGGAACGGAGAGAGGGCTCCAGGCCTGTGGAAACAGAGTTGGTACTTGAGAGGAAAAGGGCAGAAGCTGTGTTTAAAAATGTAGTAAGAGAGGGGCGCCTGGGTGGCTCAGTGGGTTAAGCCTCTGCCTTCGGCTCAGGTCATGATCCCAGGGTCCTGGGATTGAGTCCTGCATCGGGCTCTCTGCTTGGCAGGGAACCTGCTTCCTCCTCTCTCTCTCTCTCTCTCTCTCTCTGCCTGCTTGTGATCTCTCTCTGTCAAATAAATAAATAAAATCTAAAAAAAAAAAAAAAAGTAGTAAGAGAAATCTGTCCAGGGAGGGAGGACTGATTTTTACACATCCCCAAGATCCTAGACCCTAAAGTTGAGCTGGGACTGGGGAGAAGAGTGATGATGGGGAAAATGTTAGCTTTGCTTTAAAACTTTCCTGTATAATTCTGCTGAGTGAGGTGATTCATTGCAGAAGACTGAGAACAACGATCAACAGTAGCGGAAAAGACTTTTTAAAAACTTCTCTCTTTTTCAGTTTGGGAATTGCAGTCACCTTAGACTTACCTGATAAGGAATTCAGAACAGAAACTCTGCTCTGCAGGAGAAACCTTGGTAGTTTTCTTGCAAGTGTAAGAAAGTTTATCATGAAACCCTGGCCAGAGAGCTGTTTCAGACTCCCACTTTGTGAAAGTTTTTGTTTGTTTAGCTGGTTCTGTTTTTGGAGAGGCAGTCCTGGTAGGGAGCCTTTGGACACAGAGTTTTGTCTTGTGCAGGTGTAATAAGAATCCAACTCTACTAAAACATAGGGTCAGCGCAGAGTAATTTGGGTTTCTCTCTCAAGTCCTGGGGGCTTGGAAACAAGTATTAATTTTGCTTTAGGGAAGCAGTGCCCACCATGGCCACTGATCTTAGACCCAGTCTGGAGCTCATGGTGCTCATCTACACTGAATGCCGTTTGCTCATCTTACACGGAGAGTTTTTTAAAAATCATTTTTACAGGAATAGTCATTTGCACTTAAAAGAGTTTTGGAAAATGACCTTTGCAACTCAAGTGATGAGAAGAAGATATGTAAGCACAATCTGAAATCGAGACAGTTAAGGAATTTGGGAACCAGGAGGGACTTTCCGTCAGCAATCCAACTCAGGCGAACTGCCTGGGCCCCATAATGTGCTGTGTCCATGCGTAGCTGGTGCTCTTAGTGTGTCTGGTTTGCTTTCCAGGATGTCACCCCACCTTTCATTTGTGTGTCCAGTAGCCACTGCACAGCCTCCTCTTGGGTAAGCTGTGAACTTCTCTGTGCCTTTTCTGTAAAAGAAGGTCATTGACGTAGGTGACGTAGGTGAGGTCCAGTTGTGTCAGGTTCTCTAGTCCTCTGACTTTATGATTCTGCGTTTGGAAATGTGGGCTTTTCCCCTTCTTTTCCATTAGAGAAATTAATACTTATATGAAGCCACCATTTCCTGAGCTCCTTATTTTTTTCCCTTCAGGAGAAATCGGTGTTGGAGGAAATAGATGTGATAGTGGCCAGCCTGTTGGACATCCTGCTGAGAACTATATTGGAGATCACCAGTCGACCTCAGCCATCCGGCTCCGCCATGAGGCTCCAGTTCCAGGATGTCACTGTAAGAGCATAAAGCAAATGGCACCAAACAGCATAGTTGTGCTTATAAAAGCTTCGGTCGCTTTGAGGGTGGGTTGCTATAGGAAACTGGGAAATCTGTCCCTGGGAGAGTGACCCTTGTGTATTTCAAAGATACATGAAGTTAACTTGCATTTTGCCAGGGAATGAAGATAAGAAACACTGTTCGTTAAAAGATCTTGGATTAAGATTTGTTTAATTTCAGAAAGCCAAATTTGTTATTAGCTCTCACTTTTCTCAATTTAATTAGCCTGTGATTCTGTGTCCCCAGTCCTCTTGGTACTTTTCATTCTCTTTTTATCCATCAAATTGCTTGAGGAGAGGAGAATAATGAAATAGAGAAACAGGAGTCAGGTGTCCTGAGTTCTAATTCTGGATTTCTCACTGTGAATAGTAAGGATCTTAATTTGGGGATGCCTTGGTTTCCTTAGGTATGAAATGAGAAAGTTTGACAGGGTAATTTCTAAGTAATCTTCAAGCTCTACTATTTTATGAGTGTAATATAACATGATTTATAAAAAAAATTAAGAAATAATGTATCTGATAGCTTATGTATGTGTATGTATTTTTATGTGTGTGTATCTATAGAGAGAGATGGATTGATGATTGGGTGGATAGATTCTATTTAAAACTCACATTCAGTTCACCAAGAATGGTTTTTTTGTTTTTATTTTTTTTAGATCTGATTAAGAATATTCTTCCAAATATCCGAAATGGCAGTAGATGCTATAGTTTTCATATATTTACAAAAATGTCAGCTTTTGCCATTCTTAATATAAACCATCCACAGTAGAACCTTTGTCTTAAGAATGTTTGCTTAGCCCCGATGAAAATAATTTTTATTTCTACTTAAAAAAAATACAAAGTCTGCCCCGACTCTCCTACCAAGTTCTCCTGTTTCAGGACGGCCACGTTGTGTTGAATTTTATTTTCTCTGCTTTCAGAGCTGAGATTCACCTGAGGAAACCAAGCTCTGAGTTTGGGAAATAAAGTTGAACTCTTTCTTTTGACCAACTAAGTTAAAGATAGTATGAAACACTTCCTAATATATGTAATAGCTCTACTGCCTCATTTAAAGAAAAGATAAGCCAAGCATTTGAGTTCTCCATTTCACGTGGGTAGTGGTACCTGCATCATGGGGTCGGCTTCGTGTTTTTAGCGCAATGCTTGGTCCAAAGTAAATGCTCAAAACATATTGTTGCTGCTTAACACTCCTGGGGTTCATTATGGATTTGAAGGTTTGGGGTTTTTTTTATGCTGAGGTTTTTTTTATTTTGTTTTTTTCTTTTTTTTAATTAAATGTGTTATTTTGTGATAATTATAGAGTCACATGCACTTGTAAGAATTATTACAGAGTTGTAAGAAATATTACACAGCTTTTACCCAGTTTCCACAATGGTAAAAATCTTACAGAACTATCGCACAGTATCATGACTGGGATACTGACATTAATACAGTCCAGACACAGATTATTTCCATGGCCCCAAGGATCCCCCGTGTTGTGTTTACAGTCAAAACCACTTCCTTCCCATCTCCACCTCCTCCTTAACCCTGACAATCCCAAATCTGTTCTCCGTTTTTATAATTTTGTCTTTTCAAGCATGTTACAGAAATGAAATCATACAGTAAATAACCTTTTGTAATTAGCTTTTTTTCTTTAACTCAGAATAATTCCCTGGAGATTCATCCAAGTTGTTTTATATATTTATATATTTATACATCTTATTCTTTTTTTTTTTTTAAAGATTTTTTTATTTATTCATTTGACAGATAGAGATCACAAGTAGGTAGAGAGACAGGCAGAGAGAGAGGAGGAAGCAGGCTCTCCACTGAGCAGAGAGCCCGATGCGGGGCTCGATCCCAGGACCCTGGGATCATGACCTGAGCCGAAGGCAGAGGCTTTAACCCACTGAGCCACCCAGGCGCCCCTATACATCTTATTCTTTTTATTGCTCTGTAGTTTCTATGTTTTGGATGTACTACAGTGTGTTTAACCATCACCCATTGAAGATCACCTGGGTTGTTTCCAGATTTTGGCTATTATGAACAAAGCTGCTATAAATGTTTCTGTGCCAGTTTATATGTAAGCATAAGTCTTCATTTCTCTAGGATAAATTCCTAGGAGTGTGGTTGTTGGATTATATGGTAGTTGCAGGTTTAGTTTAGTTTTTTTTTTGTTTGTTTTTTTAGATTTTATTTATTTGAGAGAAAGGGAGAGTGCAGCCACACAAGCGGGGAGAGGGGCAGAGGGAGAAGCAGGCTCTCCACTGAGCAGGGAGCCCTACGTGATGCTCTGTCCCAGGACCCTGAGATCATGACCTGAGCTGACTTAACTGACTGAGCCACCCAGGAGTCCCTGCATGTTTAGGTGGTTTTTTTTGTTTTTTTTGTTTTTTTTTAAATATTTCATTTACTTATTTGAGGGAGAGAGAGAATAAGAGAGAGAGCGAGCAAGCATGAGAATGGGAGGGTCAGAGGGGGAAGCAGACTCTCCACCAAGCAGGGAGGCCAATGTGGGACTCGACCCATGGACTCCAGGATCATGACCTGAGCCCAAGGCAAAGTCTCAACCAACTGAGCCACCCAGGTACCCCGCATGTTTAATTTTTTAAGAAACTGCCGAACTGTATTCCATAGTGGCTGTATAACATTACATTCTCATGTACACGGTGTATGAGTGATCCAATTTCTCACTGCCCTCTTCAGCATTTAGAGTTGTTGGTTTTTTGTTGTTGTTGTGGGTGGGGGTGTACTCTGTTACATAGGAAGTAATATCTTATTGTGATTTCAGTTGGCATTTTCCTAATGACCAGTGATACCGAACATATACTTTCATAAACTTGTTTGTCACCAATATATCCTATTTGGTAGAATGTCTCTTCATGTCTTTTTCCCATTTTCTACCCAAATTGCTTTTTACCATTGAATTTTCATGGTTCTTTATATATTGTAGATACTAGTTCTTTATTGAGTATATGGTTTATAAATATTTTCTCCCACTCTATAGCTTGTTTTCCCGTCCTTTTAACAAGGTCTTTTGCAAAAGTTTTTATTATTGATGAAGACCACTTTATCAGTTTTTCATTTTATAGATCATATTTTTGATGTCAAGTCTAAGAATTCTTTGGTCTAGCCCTATATCCTAAAGTTTATCTCCTAAGTTTTTTTTCTAAAAGTTTTACAGTTTTTTATTTTACATTTAAGTCTACAAACTCTTTTGAGTTAATTTTTGCATATGCTGTGCCAGATTATCTAACATTCTATTATCTCAATATTGACATGTATTAATTGTCTTTTTTCATTCAATTTAAGCTCTTCCTGGTCCTTGGTATGACAAGTAATTTTTAATTAAATTCTGGACATTTTTATAAGACTGTGAATCTTACTCAAGCCTTCTGTTTTAGCTGGCTTTATGTGATACCACTTAGCAGGGGAAGGGGAAGGGTGCTAACTCATGATGGCCAGAGGTGGAATTTCATGTTCCCCATATTGTCTTTACTAGCACTGACCATCGGGCCTGAAAGCACCGGCTCCTGATTTGGCTTTCTCTCGGGAAGATATTAGGGCACCCCTACATGGCTTTGTGAGCATGGAAGTCTAAGCTCCCCATTTGGTGTGGGTGAGGCCAAAGTTTTTTGTGGTCTTCACTTGGAGTAGAGCAATAAAACTTTTGCCTTGCTTAACTCCCCTATACCTGATCCTTTGGCCAAAGAGCGTAGTCTTTTGTTGTGTGTAATTGTTGGTGTAATTGGCCAGCTTCTTCAGCTCCAGGTGTGAGATACCCAAAGCAGAAAGAAAACCCAGAGAATGTGGTACTGTGTCCTTCCTCAGCTCCCAAGGACCCTGGCCAGACTGCTCTCCTTTCTCCACCTTCAGACTCCTCTTCTGTTTGTTCTGTATCTATTAGTGAGGTTTGTAAAGTAGTACATAGCAGGAGGAATAGGTAAAAGTATATCTACTCCATCTTCCCCAAAGCAGAAGAAAGTTCACCTTCATTATGATTTTGATGGTGACATTTTAATGGCTTCCTGGCAATGGAGCTCTAACATAGTCTTAAAATGGTAATAGCCTAGCAAACTTCAGAGCAAATGTTGGCTGTGGATAAAGGCTGCCTGAGGTTGGAAGCTAAAACACATTTTCAGACTGCTTTGTTTGCAGTTGTCAATAACAAATCTCTCTGGGGTATGCCTGGCCTTTAGGCCTTCACAGTATAATAATCAATGCAAATTAAGAGACTTGAAGGTGCTGAAATCAGGTTTGCAGATGACACTGGGGGTAGGGCAGGCTGGATGTTCATCCATTGTTCTGAATTTTAGGAAAATCACATAAAGAGAAACTTTCCCCAGCATAGCCATGGTGTACCCTCCCCCGTTTTGCAAAAAATCAAACTCTCTCAAGGTATGTGGTTCGAAATTTGCTGGGAAACATCCACTTGGATTATTTGGTTCCTTTGGTTTTATGCTGTAAGACTTTTTTTTCAGGGACTCAAGCTGATGTGCTTTGAATCCTCTTTTGCAACTTTATTATCTACAGGCTCTTGTGCAATTTGCAAATACCTCTAAGCTTCTCTTCCTTTGTCTTTGAAACAAAAGGGGGGTACCTAGGTGGCTCAGTCATTGAGCATCTGCCTTCAGCTTAAGTCCTGATCCCAGTGTCCTGGGATCCAGCTCTGCATTGGGCTATCTGCCCAGTGGTGAGTCTGCTTCTCCCTCTCCCTCTCCCTCTTCCTCTCCCTCTGTGTGCTCTGTCTCTCTCTCTCTCTCAAGTAAATAAATAAAATCTTAAAAAAAAAAAATTGGACCTCTCTCAAAGTTAGTGTGAGGATTTCATCACATGTGTAAGGGTTTAAATAATATCAGTTTACTTCAGTCATTATTGTGGTAGCAGCAACAGTCGCAGTAGTGCTATTATGTTTGCTGAATAATTATACTGTTGTTATAACGAATTCTGTGGTGAGGAGCATGCACTGGTCATTCACAGAGT